ACACACACACACACACACACACACACACACACACACACACACACTTTCAATCTGATTACCTTGGCTGGAAGATGGGAACCCTAACATGGAGCATGCCAGTTTAGGGAAAGTTGCTAAATGAATTGGCCAGCATTTTCTTTGCTGTCATCAGTACAGGGTACAATGAAAACAGAGGTCTACATCATTTCAATCATTTTCTTGCTCACCTAGATTTCTGAGTGTTAGATCTTTGGTTGTTAACATAAATATTCAACTTATACCATATGGAAGGGACAACGCTCAATAGTTAAGATGCTGGTCTTGTTGACTGGAAATCCAACAGCCCAGGTTCAAGACCACCTGTCCTTGCCCAGTTCCTGCTAACCTAGCAGTTTGAAAGCAAATGCAAATCCAAGAAGATAAATGGGTACCACTTTGGTGGGAAGGAAACAGAACTCTGTGAAGTCATGGTGGCCACATGACTGTGGAAATGTCTTTGGGCAGCGATGGCTCAAAGGCCTTGAAACAGAGATGAGCACCACCCCTATAATCAGCAATGACTAGCGGAATAAAATCCACAGGGATTCCTTTACCTTTTTACTTTACAATACAGAAACTCATTTGTGATTCATCCAAAAATTATATGTTAATGATATAGTTTCCTTTGGCTTTTTTCCATTCTACTTCTGGAGGATTAGTGAAGGCTCCAAATGTATGTACTACCTATATATAAAAGCATGCTGATCCTTAAAGGTTTCATTAAATTATTTTGAAATCCATCTGAAATGGGGGTAGACTTCACTTTGGCCCAGAGTTCTACTCCTACTTTCCATTACTGTGAGATCTGGTGATATATAAAGACCTGAGGCAATTTGTCTTGCTGGAATCTCATTTACCTCTAGGATTTTTTGCCTCTCAGGTACCTCTTGGGACAATGTAGATACTGTTAGTATTTATTGATTGACTGACTATGTATTTATTTTTCATCTCATGGCACAATTATCCCTCAGGATGATATTCTGAATCTCAATGAGAATAAGACACTTAAATTAACTGGAAACCAAAGGATACGCTTTGTTCAAAAGGATACAGATTTTCTTTACCCATAAGTTTCACCTGTTGCAATAAAGAAGAAAGACAAGAACTGATTAATACCTTGCCCACTCCAATGCCCAGTAAGAGTAGTAATGACTCTAAAGTCACATGGTAACTCCATCTTCTTTCTTTCTTATCCATACTATTGTCTGCTTTTCTCAAACCCAT